CACACCTTTCTTAATTTTAAACCATTCAGTGTTCCCATGCTCTGTTCGAACAACTGCCTCTTGGTCCAGGTACAGATTCCTCATGAGCACAAGACTCGTAGAAAAAAGTTGGGAGAGCAACTGATGTCTCCCTAGAAGCCACTGAGCATGAAGAACGCTCCCTCCTCCTCATCTTGCTATTCTTGGGATGTATCATAGCTGAGCAAGTCTGGGCATAAACTCAGAGAAACCATGGCTACTTGGGTTGAATGCCTGGGTCTTCACTCCCATTCCCACTGTTTCTTTTACACTGTAAGTTGATTAAGCCCAGCATAGTTTACTGGCCAGCCCTTTTTCTCTTAGTATCAAATATGGTTAAATAAATATTCTGGTGCTATGATAAGACATATATAAAAGAACTTTTAAGCTTATTTTGAAAGATATAATTAAGACTATTTTTTCTTTGAAACTTGGAGACTCTTATTCAAAATAATGATTGGTCCCTGTATATAAAGAGATTTTGATAAACAATTTTTAAAGAAATCTTTCCCCAGCAGGAATTAAAAGCATTTCTAATATGGTGACTTATTCTCCCAGAGCGTAGGAATGGGGAATATGATAGTTTAAAGCCAGAATGACAGATGCCTTCTTGTTCTCTAGTTTCTCTGCCTTTGTCTTCTCACCCGCCCTTCTTGAGTAGTCCAAGTCCCAGTTGTCTTCGGACCTTCACCCAGCTGTTAAAAATGTATGCTATGCAAAGAGCATGGCACCTTGATATATGCGGAACTTCTCTTTATTCTATAACTTTCATGTAGGACACAGGGCCATGATCATGCCAAGATTTTTACAGAATCTTCATGTGATTCTTTACCATGTAAATTAGCCACATGGTTATTTCTAGCTAGACATTGGTTCAATCCTAGCTGTAATTCTGATTGCACTACATGCTTATTTTCTTCATTAAGTAAACAATGGACTTTATTAAGAGTTAGTGCATTTCATAGAAGAAAGTCAGTTTCTCAGTTGTTGTTGTTAAGTGCCATCAAGTCAGTTCCGACCCAGAGCGACCTTGTAAAGGGTTTCCTAGGAGAGACTGGTGAGCTTAAACTGCCAACCTTGCAGTTCAAACCAATCTTGCAGTCCAGTGCAGTAACCCATAACACCACACCAGGATTCCGTTTCTCAGTTAGATTTATCTAAATGTAGGAGATTTTTGTCTTTAAGTGAAGCAGATTAAAAGTAATTGGAACTCCCAAATAATTCTCCACTGAAAAATAAAAAATGTTTTAACTGTCCTCAATTCCTATGAAATGTTCTTTCTTTCCTAGGCAATTTTAAAAAATTTATGTTGATAAATTTAGAATTTTATGTATGGTTCCTGTTTTATAATGTTTATCTTTCATATAGATTACTTGTGATTCTGAGAGGGTAATCTTTCTTAGGTCTATTATGATTGAAGTCAAGCTTGAAATTGAAGAATTCTATGTTCTTTTTTTTCTAACAATATCATGATATTCCTACCCTCTCAATCTTCGATGGTGATTTTATTTTTCTTCCAGGAAAAATATTATTTACCAATAAGTTCGGTGTTGCCTCTAACTTGTTGTTAGGTGATGTTAAGTCAGTTTCAACTCATAGTGACCCTGTGCAAAATAGAACTAAACACTGCTTGGTCCTGTGCTGTCTTCACAGTTGTGGTTACACTTGAGCCCACTGCTGCTGCCACTGTGTCAGTCCGTCTCTCGGGGGCTTCTTCCTCTTTTTCACAGTCCCCTCCAGGGATTGGTTCAAAGTATGAGAAGCAAAGTCTCACCATCCTGCCTTCTAAGGAGCACACAGATTTCTTAGTTCTTCTTGAAGTTCACTTTTAATATTCTTTTCCAACTTCATAATTCAAATGCTTCAATTCTTCCACAGTCATGCTTATTCATTGTACAACTTTCACATCCATAGGAGACAGTTGAAAAGACTATGGCTTAGGTCAGGTACACCTTAGTCCTTAAACTGATCTCTTTCTTCTTGAACACTCTAAGGTGGTCTTTTGCAGTAGATTTGTCTAATGCAATCCATCCTTTGATTTCTTGACTGCTACTTCCATGAGTAAGGAGCTCTGGTAGCGTAGTGGTTACGAATAGGGCTGTGAACCTTAAGGTCAGCAGTTCGAAACTACCAGCTATTCCGCAGGAGATAGATGAGGCTTTCTGCTGCCATAAAGATTTACAGCTTCAGAAACCCTGTACAGGGTCATTATGAGTTGGAACCAACTCCACGGCACCTAACCAACCAACTTCCATAAGTGGTGATTATGAATCTAAGCAAAATGAAGTCTTTCTCCATTTTTCATGATGTTATTTGTTAGTCCAGTTGTGAGAATTTTTGTTTCCTTTACATTGCGGTACAATCCATACTGAAGTCTTTGATTGTAATCAACAAGTAATTTTCATAAGTATTTCAAGTCTTCTTCACTTCCATCTCCATACTGCAGATTGTTGATGAGTCTTCCTCCAATCCTGATGCCACATTCTTCATATAATCTAACTTCTCGATTGTGTGCTCAGCATACAGATTAAATAGTATGGTGAAAAGATACAACCCTGGTGCACATCTTTCCTGATTTTAAACCATTCAGTACCCCCTCGTTCTATTTCAACAGCTGCCTCTTGGTCTATGTATGAGTTCTTCATGTGCACAATTAAGTGTTCTGTAATACCCATTTTTAGCAATTTTATCCGTAACTTGTCATGATCCACACAGTCAGAAGCCTAAACATCTTCCTGGTATTCTCTGCTTTCAGCGAAGATCCATGTGACGTCAGCAGTGATATCCATAGTTCTACATACTCTTCTGAATCTGACTTGAACCTCTGGCAGGTTCCTGTGTATGTACTGTTGCAACTTTTTAAATTTAATTGCATGTGATATTAATGACATTGTTCAATATTTCTGTATTCTGTTGGGTCACATTTCTTTGGAATGGGCACAAATATGAATCTCTTACAAATGTCTTGATATAGATAAGTGAGTGCCTCCAGTGCTGCATCAGATTTCAGTTTTTATTCTGCCATTTCCTGGAGGCTTGTTTTTAGCCAATGCCTTCAGTGCAGCTTGGACCTTCCTTCAGTATCATTGGTTCTTGAACTTATTGTCTCAAACGATTCTGCTCAATTTCAAGACAATATCTGTCACTTTAGTGTATCAAAAAATACTAGAAAAGTACTGATAAAGGTAAATGGAAGTTTGCCCTCAAATAGTTTAATATACATTATTTCAGTGGAAAAATGCTAATGCATCTATCTATTTCCGCATAGATAAATCGTGAGATTGTTGTTAGTTGCCTCAGAGTTGGTTCCAACTCTTTGCAACCCATATGTGCAGAGTGGCACTGCTCCATAGGGTTTGTATAATTGTGACTTTTCAGACACAGATTGTCAGACCTGCTTCCTAGGCACTTCTCAGTGGTTTTTTAACTGCCAACCTTTTGGTAATAGTTGAGCACCCACTGTGCTAAGTGCGCCACCCAAGACTCGTAAATTATGGCATGTTACTATTTTGGGGTACCCTTGAGTCGTTCTGACTCCTAGAGGCCCTATGTAACACAGTAGAATTTTCCCACGATCTTATCAATGAAGAGGAAAGCTATCAATTACCTATTTCTGTGTGAAAACAGCCTCAAATATTGTGATTTGAAAACAGCAACAAATTATTTATTTGTTACAGTTGTACTTATTAAGCCTCTGCTTAGGTTAAAGAGCTCTGATGATGCAATGAGGTAGGCATTGGGCTGCTAACTATAAGTTTGGTGGTTCAAATCTGCCAGCTGCTCCTCAGGAGAAAGATGAGATTGTCTGCTCTCTTAAAGATGTACAGTCTCAGAAATTCCTTATGAGTTGGAATCAATTTGATGGCAGAAAGCTTTTGTTTTTGTGGTTAGATTCACATCTTCCCATTGGCTAACAAATCATATGGCCAAGCTGAGTTAGTGTGAATGTGGTCTTAGGCAGCATCTCTTTATGGGAGGGGTGACAGAATTCATGGGCATTTAAAATCTACCATGGAACGACTCCCCACTTTTTGTAAGCAAACCGAAATCCTAAATTAGGAATATATTTCCTGGCTTCTAACTTTGGTATGACTAGCATAGCATTTGCCCAAATTAGCAAGTCTTGTAATCAGGTTCATAAACCAGTTATCCTTCTAACTGAAAATTGTATTGAAAGAGAACAATGGACAGGAGCAGAGCAAAAGGGAGTTAAGAGCGGCACTGTGATTCCTAGAAATGGATTTGCACTCAGCAGAAATTAGCACCGGAGTGGTGGCCAAGGCAGTAACGCCAGCTGAGCCAGGTAGATAGCACTTGATTAAATAAAATTATATAAGAAACTTCATAATGATACAGAAGTATCTATATTTATATAAGACTTTGTAATTTCCCTGTTTCCTCTCATGCGTATCTGCAAGGTAAATTGTATGAAGTATTTAACATGATGTGGAGTCCCAATTTGAAGTTGATTAAAAGCGCTATGATCTGGGGTGTTTCATTAATTTCTTCAAAGTCATAGCACTATTAGATTGAAGAGCGAGAATCTAAGGGTTTCTGATAGCCAGCTGTCTTAGCTTCCTAGTGTTGCTCTAACAGAAATACCACAAGTAGGTGGTGTTAATGCACAGAAACTTATTTTCTCATGGTTTAGGAGGCTAGGATTCTAAATTCAGCACACCTATTATAGGGGAAAACTGTCTCTCTTAGTTCTGGGGGAAGGTGCTAGTCTTAGCTTCTATAACCCTGGTGTTCCTTGATTCCCTGGTAATCTTAGCATGGCTTCTATTTTGCTCCTATTTGTGCTTGTTTGTCTGTGTGCCTCTTCTAACTCAGAAATGACTTGATTTAGGACATACTACAGTAATAAAGCATCAGACTTCAAAGTTGTTTGAACTGCAAGGTTGGTGGTTCAAGTTCACCAAGTGTTCTTTGGAAACCCTATACAGGGTCACTATGGGTTGGCATCGACTTGACGATGCTTAACCACAACAACACAGTGATATGGTCTCATTAACAGAACAAAGAAAATCTGATTCCCATGTTCGGGTTACATCCACAGTATAGGATTTAAGATTCCAATACATATTTTGGGGACATATAATTCAATCCATAATACTCACCCTATTCCCTTCCCACAGTAAAACTTCATTCAAAAAAAAATTTTTTTAATATACATATAGATAGATAGATAATTGTTGGTGTTAAGTGCCATTTTGAACTGCTGACCTTTTGACTCAAACTAACCTTGCAATCCAGTGCATTATCCTGCAGCACCACATGAGGACTCCATATATACATGTTGTTAAGTGCAATCAAGTTGGTTCCAGTTCGTAGGGTTTCTGAGGAATAGCTGGTAAGTTTGAACTGCTGACCTTGTCGTTCAAACTGACATTGATGTTGAGTCTTTATCCTTTGGTACCACACTGGGGGACTCTCTCTCTCTCTCTCTCTCTGTCTCTCTCTCTCTGTCTCTCTCTCTCTCTCTCTCTATATATATATATATATGGAGCTCTGGTAGCGTAGTGGTTACGAATCGGGCTGCAAACCTTAAGGTCAGCGGTTCGAAACTACCAGCCGCTCCACGGGAGAAAGATGAGGCTTTCTACTCCCGTAAAGATTTACACCCTCGGAAACCCTGTACAGGGTCGCTATGGGTCGGAACCGACTCGACAGCACTTAACAACAACAACATATATATATAGTGTGTGTGTGTGTGTCACTGTAGAAACAGCACTAGACTGTGAACCACAAGGTCAGCAGTTCAAATCCACCAGCTGCTCCTTGGAAACCTTAAACAGGGTTGCTATGAGCCAAAACTGACTTGATGACATTTAACAACAACATGTATATATATATAAGCTTTAAGGAATTAGTTTTGAAGTTTTACTGAATAAAGCTTATTCTAAACAAATAAATTGATGATCTTTTTTGTTTGTTTTAGTAATGATTAATAGCAATCTTAAATGGGATAGGATTGATGCTTCTTATGCTTCTGAACCAGTGAAGAGAAAATGGGAAGCAAAACTGAAGCAAATTGAAGAGCGAGCTTCCCGTTATGAGAGGAAACCTTTGTCCTCAGTGTATAGACCAAGGTTATCCAAACCAGATGAACCACCTTCTATTTGGAAACTATTTCATCGACAAAATCAAGCTTTTAATTTTGTTAAGAGCTGTAAAGAGGTAATTATCTCATCCCTTTCTCTTTTTCACAGCTTTTATAACAAGATTTCTAAACAACCTGATTTAATTTTAGGTCTTGTACAGCACCAAGAGAATTTAGTTGCAATCTTAATGCCACAAAATTTAGAAATAATATTTCTGAATCATTAAGCATTTGGTTTATATTAATCAGGAAAAAGAATGATAGGTGTAGTGCCAATTATTTTTTAAAAGGCGCCTTGGCAGCACAGTTAAATGTTTGATTACCAACTGAAAAGTTGGTTGTTTGAACCCACCAGCCGCTCCTCAGGAGAAAGATAGGGCAGATCTGCAGCCTTGTAAGTCCTGTAGTGCAGTTCTAGTCTGTCTTACAGGTTTGCTATGAGATGGAATCGACTAAACAGGAATGTGATTTGTAGTGATGCTTAACTGAAGCTGTGCTTGAAGGGAGAGTGGTCATATTCATGGACTGAAAGAAAATAGAATGACTAAGCAAGGGGGAAAGGAAGGGTCTTTGCCTCTGGAGCTCAGAGATATGATTTGCAATAATGTAAAACAGTGATTAAGGGTCTGGTAGCACAGCTGATTAATATAATTGCTGTCAATGAAACTAAATGCTCAAAAATACGTGGAGCTGAAAGAATGGAGTGTGAGATTTTTAGGAAGAAGAGAAAGAGTTGAATTTAAGATACCTGAAGCAAAATGCCTCAGACATGATATTAGATTACAATAAGACATAGAACTTAAAATCATAGTGCCACAGCCGACTTGTACTTTTCTACTTGTGCCTTTTGTGCTTTGGGGTTTGTCATAATTACGAGCACATTAGGCTAGTAAGAAGAAGCTTGCTACCTGCCCAGCCCACTGCTGTGGAATCAATTCCTGCTCATATAGTGACCCTGTTTAGGGTTTCAGAGACTGTCAATCTTTACAGGAGCAGAAAGCCTCACTATCAGGACTCTTTTTGCATATATGCCAACTTTACAAAAAATTAATAAATGAAGCAACATTTGTATTGTGCATCCTTTGTGGAGAATATAAAAAGATAAAAAAAAAATAGATTGAAAAGGTAAGATGAATATGTGAAATCCAAGATAAATATGTGATTTCGAGGCTGTGCCTCTGATCACGGATGTTACATAAAAATTGAAAGTGCTATATGCTTTTTAGGAAATAAAAGAAAATTTGTCTTACTCATTTTATATAAAGTCAGGAATCAGAATTTAAAAGGTTAACTCAAAGCTGATTCACTGTAACTTGTATCTCATTAAAAATGCATGGGTATGATTGCTGAACTTCCTAATAACTAATCTATAAAACTAATCTCTAATAGGGTCAGGTAACTGGGTCTTCATGTCATTCACATGATAATGAAAGTTTAGTTCTTTTAAAGGCTCAGCAGCTACCTTTACCTAAGTGGAAACACAAGGAACTTGTGTGTGTATTCCTTTATTAGAAGACAATAGACATAAACAGTTATATGTAATCAAGTACCATAATGATCGATCTATATGTACTGGAGCAATGATTAATTAATCTTATCCCACACCATTTATAATAAATTTTAGGTAGTTTTGGAAACAAAATTTAATTTTATATATTACCAAACAAAACTGTGGTAATGGCTCAAACTAGAGTGATAGAATTAAGAGTAATTTTTAATCCTGTTATTTTTAGCCTGGATATTCAACTCTGAACATGTGTTACTTGAGATTAAAAATAAATAAGTACAAGTAATTTAGATTTTTATTAGCTCTAATGATTCTTTTTCTTTCTGTTAATAATATAGAAGTTTCTAAAATTTGAAGGGTAAAATTATGAATAGTTCATAACTGCAGTTGAATTTAGATTTGCATTTTATGAATTTATTTGAACATTGTTTGTGATTTTACAAAGGATGTTCATGTATTTGCTTTGGAATACAAAGTGGGAGACGGACAACGTATTTACCTCGTAACAACTTATGTTCAACTGTGGTTCTACTATAAATCCCGGTAAGGAGTTTTTAAATGAGCAACATATTAAGCTAAAGTTATATGTATTTCATCTAGTAATTTTTATAAAATTAATTCAGGTTGAGTTGGCTCTCACAGTTCTTGACCACAGATTTATGTATTTATGTGATGTTAGAATTAGTTCTTCAGTTCCCTTGTCATTCCAAAACTAAACCCATTGCTGCTGAGTTGATTCTGAGTCCTAGTGAGCTATAGGATAGAGTAGAACTGCCCCACAGGGTTTCCAAGGTGTAGCAAAAATGGATTGTTTAGCCAGGTGTTGATAGGGAAAAAAATCATATCTACACTTACTCTTCACTTACCTTGTTATCCAACATTTTGCATCTGTCTGTGCTTTGATGATGTTTGATTGACAGTGAAGAACGTGAGGGGTCTAGGTAAGAGTAACACTGGCCGCCATGGTTAAGGCTGTGTATCAGCTTGACTGGGCCAGGATTCTCAGTCGTTTGGAAGTGATGGAATGATGTAATTTGGCAGTTATGTAATGATATGGCCATCCTCCATTTTGTGATCTGATGTGGTCATCCTCCATTTTTGCATAACACCAATTTTCACAGAACGACCTGGCCTTTGGCATCTAAGCATGCCAATAAGTGAGGAAAGGGTGTATATATCTCATATAAACATACATACACACATATATAGAGACCTGGTGGGGCGCTGTAGCATAAGCACTAGGTAAACTCCTTGGAAGCTCTATACAGGGTCTCTATGAGTTGGAATTGATGGCACTTAAGAACAACAACACACATATACAAGGGTACGTAAAAAACTATCGCTACAAAATCAAACTTTTATTAAAGATACCAAAATGTGAGGTTATTGTTTTTCCATTTTGGTGTACAATTTTGATGACAGTGGTTTCATCTCTCTAATCCATCCCCCAAAGAAATCTGCACTCTTGGATTTACACCACAGAAAAATGGCAATTTTGGCAGCCTCGAGGAGCTCAAATTCTTTAAAATGTTCTTTGTATTTTGGGAACAAAAAGAAGTCTGAAGGGGCAAGGTCTGGGCTGCTGCATGAATGGAGTAAGGTTTACCAATGAAATTCCTTTAGAACAGTTTTTGCTAGCCTCAAAGAATGAGCGGGTACATTGTTATGGTGGAAAAATTCTTCAGTGCAACTTTCCTGTGTTTTTTCTTGCCAATACAATTTTCAGTTTTCTTAAAATTTCTTTCTAATAAGCCCCTGTGATTATCCTGTGTCCTTCAGGAAACTCTATCAAGGTCCCAAAAAACAGTTACTATAACCTTCTGAACCGTTCTTGTGGCCTTGAATTTAAACAGCCCAGCAGATCCCCATGGAAGCCACTGTTTTGATTGGACCTTTTTTTCCTTAAAGGTACCCTAATGACACTAAGACAAGTATATTACTGAGAGAGTTGGTCTGCAGCCATCCGCTAATTGCAGACATGCTTAAACATGTTTTGTTTGGAATAAATTCATACATGTATGAACTGGAACCCTAGAAGCAATACTTTTTGACTTACCCTCATCTATATTTATAACTCCATTACTCAAAGGGATTCTGAAATATCTCTTTCAAAATTAAATGGTACTATTAGTCACAAATGATTATGTGCATTAGTGATTTGTCTAATAATAGATTGCTGCTTCATATAACTTAATGATCTATTTAAGTATTTATCACACTTGAGTAATATATGAAAAAGATTAATATGGATTCTCTGTGTTAACTTAAATGTTTTTATTATAATGTTTTGAATATAAAACTAGGTTTTCTTGTGTTTATGTATATGCAACACCAATTAGAGTTGAATTAAAATAATTTTAAAATCATTAAAATGATGTTATACTGAAATGAAATCTCACCTTGCAATAAAAGTTTGGTACTATTACAGAGTATGTATGAGCACATGCTTTTGTATTCTTGTATACTATCAGTGCCAGATAATGACAAAATTCTTCCACCACTTTTTCTTGTTCCTCATCTGAACTTCACTTAACCCAAATTATTACTTATGTATTAAATCAGCAATCCAAATTCTCACCTATCTATATATTGAATCAGTGTCTAGTCTCATTAATCCATGTCAAAGTTGCACCTCTTGTAAGCCACCAAGGTTATAACTACAAATTGAGTATTGAAAACTTCCGGAAGCCAGTTGATGTTTTGTGTTTTTTTGTTTTAATTTCTTTTTCCAATTAAAATAATATGATCTTCCCAATGAAAATACAACGTTTAAATATTCTCAGAGAAATCACAGAATTTCAAGAACATGTGATTTTGAGTTACAGGTTTGAGAAAAGACAGTTCTTTTCTAAAACAAAATTTATTCCATTATTGTTAGTGACAAAAAACAAGCATAGAGGTATGGCATATTATGCAAATCATCAGTGAATAAATAAAAATGTGAGGTTGGTCATGTTTTCCAGTCAAATACTGTTACAGAATATGATGTTATACTTTGTTTGGTAGAAACTCTTGATTGTATGAGCCAAAAACCGGTATCAAACAGTTGTTCACTTTATTATGTCTTCACTATTTCATCGTTATATGCGATTTCAGAACAGTTAATGTAGTCTCGTGAGACACAAATACAGCTTCTATGATTGAAAAATGTCTCACAATCACAATTTATTTAATTTAGCAAAAATCTCTTGCACTGCTATGAAGTCATTCCAGAAAATTCGGTGTGCAAGCTTTATTTTGACTTGGAATTCAACAAACTTGCCAATCCAGGAGCTAATGGGAAAAAGATGGTTGCATTACTTATTAAGGTAAATAACAGACTTAACTGTTTCTCCTTGTATCTATTTATGCATCTCTTTATTCACTCATTTATTCATTAAGTGAATCCAGCTTGTATGATTTATGAGTTCTGAAATATATCTTTTTCTTGTTATTCTTCCTTTTGACTTATTTCTTAATATCACTTCTATGAGTAAACAGTGAAAGAAGGGAAATTTCAGTTGATGTCTATATGGTTTGTAGTATTTCTTTATGTGATAAAAATCTTGCAGAAAGATAGCAGCTTGGATGTTTTCTGCATTTTAAATCATATATTAATGCTCTGGCAACCACTATAAATAGCTGATTTTGGTTAAAGTCAAAGTAATTTTGCTGTAATAATGGGGTACTGTGGACTTGATGAAAATAGTTTCAGAATTTTGGAATTCGTCAAGAATTTTGGCATTAATTTTATCTCATACCTTCATAAATGAAACAAAGGGCTTCAAAATTAATGCCTACCCAAAGTTTAGCTACTTACTGACAAAACATGTTTAGAAGTATGTGTATCAGTGTTTCCAACAAAGGTAAAGGGTATCACCCTTTTGTACTTTTGATTTAGTAATGCCAACCAGGGCATTACTAACATAAGGAGCAATGTGAACTTCTACAGGTTAGGTCTTCGATGCTTCAAAAATAATTTTTACATGTATTACATTAAGTTGTATTAGATTTGTATTGAGTACTCTTTATCTTCAAAGTAGGTATTCACGTTTACTATTAACTATTTTTATGTTAACTGAATAATAATTTTAAGTGACCTGCCGTATAACTTTAAAATTATATTCAAATTAAAATGCTTTTAATAAAAAGCATACATACCTGCTAATTATGTTGCATATCCACATGTATTTGAAAATGTATGCAAATGCTGTTTCTTTAAAAATTACAAAATGTAAGCTTTATGTAGGGGAGCTTGGTCACTAAGTACAATAAGCACTGGACTGCAAGCCACAAGTTTGGCAGTTTGAGCCCACAAGCCATTCCACAACAACAAGCTTATGCATATAAAGTCTCCCCCTGCTGTCCCCAAAGTTACTATTCTTAAAAATAAGTATTAGATCCTTTAAAATAAATGTTTTATTTCATTATAGTTGGTAAATTGTATTTACTTTTTAACCTTATTTATGTTTTTAATAATAGGTAAATATTATAAATTTATATAAATTACACATGTATAAATATTGACTTTTTGTGATAGGCAGTATATTTCTAAAATCTAGAGAGGATTTATTGTGTAGGTCCTGTGTGGCCAATAAGAAAGCAAGACTAACATTTTTCAGTGATACTTTAATATGGTGATTAAATATGGTGAGCGCAGTGGCTCTGTGTGATAAGCACTGGATTGTGAACTACAAGGTCTGCAGTTCAAGGCCACTGGCCAGTCCGTGGGAAAAAGATTAGGCTTTATGCATTGGAAACCCTATAGAAGATTGCTATGAGTTGGAACCAACTCAATGGCAATTAACAACAACCACAACAAGTAAGTACCACATTGTATTGTTGTTGTTGTTAAGTGCTGTTGAGTCGATTCTGATCCATAGCGACCCTTAATAGGGTTTCCAAGGAGGAGCTGGTGAGCTTGAACCGCCAGCCTTGCAGTTCAGATGGCTTTGCAGTCTGGCGCATTAACCGAAAGCGCGACACTAGGACACCACATTGTATTGTTGTTGTTGTTAGGTGCCATTGAGTCGGTACTGACTCATAGTGACTTTATGCACAGCAGAATGAAACACTGCCTGATCCTGGGCCAGCCTCACTACTGTTGCCACGCTTGAGTCCATCGATGCTGCCACTTGGCCAATCCAGCTCATTGGGGGTCTTCCTCTTTTTCTCTGACCCTCCATCTTAGCGACTGGTCCCTCCTTATAATATATCCGAAGTATGAGAGATGAAGTTTGGTCATCTTGGCCTCCTAATAGCACTCTGGCTGCACTTCTTCCATAACAGATCTGTTTGTTCTTTTGTAAGTTCTCCAACACCATAATTAAAATGCATTAAATCTTCTACAGTCTTCCTTATTCACTGTCCAACTTTCACATGCATATGAGGTTATTGGAAATACTATGGCTTCTGTCAGCTCAAGCTGACATCTTTGCTGTTCAACACTTTAAAAAGGTCTTGAGCATCAGATTTGCCTAATGCAATATGCCATTTGATATCTGGGCTGCTGCTTCCATGAGTGCTGATGGTTGATCCAAGAAAAATGAAGCCCTTGACAACTTCAGTCTTTTCTCCATCGATAAGAATATTGTTTATTGGTCCAGTGGTGAGGATTTTTGTTTTCTTTACATTGAGATGCAATCCATATAGAAGGCTATGGTCTTTGATCTTCATCAGTAAGTATTTTAAGTCCTCTTCACTTTCAGCAAGCAAGATTGTTTCATCTGCATATCGCAGGTTGTTAATGAGTCTTCCTCCAATCCTGATGCCATATATTTCTTCATATAACCCATCTTCTTGGATGATTTGCTCAGCATACAGGTTGAATAAGTATGGTGAAAGACTACAATTCTGTCACACACTTTTATTAATTTTAAACCATTCATTGTTCCCATGTTCTGTTTGAACTTGGTCTATGTACAGATTCCTCATGAGCACAACTAAGTGTTCAGGAATACTCATACTTCACAATGTTTTCCATAGCTTGGCGTGATTCACACAATTGAAAGCCTTTGCATAGTCAATAAAGCACAGGTAAACATCTTTCTGGTATTCTCTCCTTTCAGCCAAGATCCATCAGACATGAGCAATGATATCCCTCGTTCCATGTCCTCTTCTGAATCTGGCTTGAACCTCTAGAAGTTCTCTGTCAATGTATGCTTGCAGCCGTTTCTGTATTACCTTTAGTAAAACTTTGATAATGTCCGATGATTTCTGCATTCCACCTCTCTTTGGAAAGGGCACAAATATGAATCTCTTCTAATCAGTTGGCAAGATAGTTGTCTTCCAAATGTCTTGGCATAGATGATTGAGTGCCTCCTGTGCTGCCTCACTTTCTTGAAAGATTTCACTTTGTATTCCATCAGTTCCTGTGCCTTGTCCTTTGCCAATTCCTTCAATGCACCTTGGACTTCTTCCTTCAGTGTCATCGGCTCTTGATCATATGCTACCTTTTAAAATGGTTGAACATCTACCATTTCCTTTTGGTACAGTGATTCTGTGTATTCCTTCCATCTTCTTTTGATGTTTTCTGCATCAGTCAATAATTTGCCCAGATAATAACAAAAGTTGAGGCTTGAATTTTTTTCTTCTGTTCCCTCAGCTTGAGAAATGCTGAAAATGTTCTTCCCTTTTGTTGTAATATTTGACCTTGTCCTCTCGAGCTGACCTTTGGAATTTTCTGTTCAGCTCTTGTACCTCCTCCAGTACCAGTCCATTTCAACTCACTAATGCTTAAGATTATCGATGTTTATGCATGCCATTTCACTTTTGTCAATTTCCAATTTTCCTAGATTCATACTTTGTACATTCCATGTTCCAATTATTATTGAATGTTTACAGCTGTTTCCCTTCATTTTGAGTTGTGCCCCATCAGTAAATAAAGGTCCTGCTGACTTTACTCCCACGGGCTTTATTCCATTCATGTTATCAGAGTCACCTGTACTCTGAGGAGGCAGCTCTTCCCCAGTCGCATTTTGAGTGCCTTCCAACCTGAGGGGCTCCTTTTCTGGCACTATATCTGACAGTGTTTCTCTGCTATTCATAAGGTTTTCAGTGACTAAATATTCGGAAGTAGTTCGTCTTTCCTTCTTCCTAGTCTGTCTTCGTATGGAAGCTCATCTGAAATCTGTACACCATGGGTGACCCTGGTAGTATTTAAAATACCTGTGGTATAGCTTCCAGAATCACAGCAACTCACAAGCCACCATAGTGCGATAAACTGACAGGTGAGTGGTGATTTTATCATCTATTAAGTGCTAAAGGAGCCCTGGTGGCTCTGTAGTATAAGCACTGAACTGCTAAATGTGAGGTTGGCAGTTCACACCCACCAGCGACTACAAGGGAGAAAGATCAGGCTTTGTGCTTCCATAAAGATTTATAGCCTCAGAAATTCTGCACAGGGTCACGGAGTTGACATTGACTGGATGGTAGAAGTAGACTAATCGCCAGATACTGTACTAGGTACTAAGAATACAATAGTGAGCGCAAGGAGACATGGTTTCTACCTTCCTAGAGTTTATAGTCAGCTGTTATTGTTGTTGTTAAGTGCCATTAAGTTGGATCTGACTCATAGTGACCCTGTATAGGATTTCCAAGGCTCTTTATGGGAACAGAAAGCCTCATCTTTCTCCTGCTTTATAGTCTGGTGGAGGACATAAAATTCAGCTACCATAATAAAACCCAAAAAGTGAAGTGGCTTAAACAAAATAGAAACTTAAGTCTTTCTCCTTTAGTATCTGAATGCGGCTCCACTGTATTCAGGACTAGGCTGTTTTTCTTTTGTTCTTAAGCTATCCCTAAGTTGTTGTCTAGTTGCTGTTGTTAAAGTGTTGTCTAGCCAATCCTGACTCATAGTGACCCTATATGGTTTCCAAGAAACAGCTGCTGGGTTTGAACCACTGATCTTGTGGTTAGCAGTCCAGTGCTTCTCTTACCGTACCACACCAGGACTCCAAGTTGATGCCTTAGGGATAGCTAAAGGTTAAGCTAGATATTAAATACATTTAGGCATTAAACATCATCATGTTGTTAGGTTCCATCAAGTCAGTTCTGATTATAGTGACCCTATGCACAACAGAATAAAACATTGCCCGATCCTGTGCCATTATCATAATTGTTGTTATGCTCGAGCCCATTGCTGTTGCCACTCTGCCAATCTCACTGGGGGTTTTCCTCATCTTTGTTGTTGTTAAGTGCCATCGAGTGGGTTCTGACTCATAGCGATATTATATAGGGTTTCTGAGGAGTGGCTGGTTGGTTTGAACCACCAAACTTGCAGTTCAAACTGACTTTGTGGTCCCATGCATTATGCTGCAGCACCACACCAGGACTCACTTCCTCATCTTGGTGGTGGTTATGTGCTGCGGAGTCAGTTCTGACTCATAGCTACCCGTATAGGGTTTCCCAGGCTGTAAATCTTTAAGGAGGCAGGAAGTCTCATCTTTCTCCCACAGATTAGCTGGTAGTTTCAAACTGCTAACCCGGAGGTTAGCAGCCCGATTTGCAACCACTACGCTACTAGAGCTCCTTACAGGAGGAAAACAGCCTAGTCCGTACTGCAGT